AAATGAGACTTATGAGAAAGCCGTAGGTAGGTAAGTGCACAAAAAATGACGCAGTTTCACACAGAACAGCGATAAAGAGACGTCCTCCAGAGAACCAATGAAAACAGAGTGCTTTTAAGTATGATGCCGTCTTCTTCTGCCGATTTCCAATGTCGGAATCACACATCGAATTCGGCAGCTGAGTATGGAAGTCAACAATCATCCCTCAACAGCTGAAATTTCGTGAATTCGAGTTATTTTCATGCAGATGTGTATCAAATCTATTCGAATAGGTAGTTCAGACAAATCCGACATTATCCGATGGTCGCTGAGAATCGTCGCTGAATTTTGCGCGACACGCGCAAAATTCAGGCATCGGAATTGGAGCGATGACTTCCACATTCATCTCTCACACTCAGCGTATGATTGCGGCATAACCTGAAAGTGTGTTTGTTGTGTGTCCAAAACGAAAGAAAGAATTAAACCATCTTGGTGTATGGCTGGATGATAATCTCAAGATGACTGCGCATATAAACAAGACAGGTGAAAAAATAAAAAAAACGCTTTCCAGCCACAGTGGAAACGAGAGGTAGATTTCAGAGAGCCTGACAGGTCGGAAAATTGTCCCCCTTGAACTTGAGATTTTTCGGATAAGGGGTGGTTTTAGAGGGTAGGTGAATATTGGTTGTTTTGAAGGCCACGACGAGACGAGTTTTTTGACGTATCACCGACTAAGATCGGACGAGTTTGAAAAATCATCCCCCTTTCGACTTGAGATTTTCCGGATAAAGGATGGTTTTAGAGGGTAGGTGAATATAGGTTGTTTTGAAGGCCACGACGAGACGAGTTTTTTGACGTATCACCGACTAAGATCGGACGAGTTTGAAAAATCGTCCCCCTTGAACTTGAGATTTTTCGGATAAGGGGTGGTTTTAGAGGGTAGGTGAATATTGGTTGTTGTGAAGGCCACGACGAGACGAGTTTTTCGACGTATCACTGGCTAAGATCGGACGAGTTTGAAAAATCATTTCCCTTTGGACTTGAGATTTTCCGGATGAGGGGTGGTTTTAGAGGGTAGGTGAATATAGGTTGTTTTGAAGGCCACGACGAGACGAGTTTTTCGACGTATCACTGGCTAAGATCGGACGAGTTTGAAAAATCATCCCCCTTTGGACTTGAGATTTTCCGGATAAGGGGTGGACCGATTTTCACGAAAAAGGAAACTTGATCTAGACCTCATAGCAGTGAAGAACTATGCTTAGTTTCGTTTTCATCGTACGGATAGTTCCGGGAAAAAAACGGTCGCAAAGGTTCGTTAGATCATATATATATATATATATAAAACTTTTTTATGACCCACTTTTTTCAACTCAGGGCTTCAGGATCGATGCTCTTTGAGCGAAAATTCCGGAAAATTACGAGGTCGTACCGTCTGCAATAGACAGATATTTCTTCGAAATCTACCTAAAAAGCCTCGTGTACCGCTGATGCTAGAGTGCCTTTTTAGACAGAGTATGGCCATTTCTGTTCCGGTTTTTCATTGGTCGCGTGAAAATAGGCTGACTTGATGTTCTTATGGCCGTAAGTAAACAAACAAGATGGCTGTTATCAGCAACAAAGACATTGAATCACGTAGACCGTGCATCCTGTGTTACGGAAGGCGAAGCAACTTTCAAAAATTCGCACGTGATGAGTGGTCGCACCGACCCGCATCGATGAGTTCGTGTGTCCTAGTTGCGCCCATCTGCGCATGCGCAGTAGCGTGTCCTGGCGGCTCCAGTGAATTTTTGTCGGATTGTGAAGCTTTTTTCCTCGGTTAAAAATTAGTTCGGAAAAATGAAACGATGCTAATCGGGTGTAAAATTATGTGTTCTATAACTTTTCTTCTTAGGAATTTTGTCTGAAAATGGACTCTAAATGAGATATTCGTGAAAAACCGAGCGCGGGCATGAATTCTCCATTGCCTCTTCGAGTGCTTGGGACACACGCTCTCTCCTCTTCCCCACCCGCCCATGATGGGGCTCCGAAAGACTTGCCTCGCTCCGCCAGTACTAAACCGAGCCGAACGCACGGTCTTCGTGCTTCAATGTCTTTGATCAGCAAGCAATATTGAGGTTATGCACATCTTACATCCTTCCTGTGATAAAGGTGAAAGGCGATTTAACAATGTTTTCGTGTGTTTCTCGTGTGTTATTCGTAAATATGCTAGTTTAAATTGTTACTGCCGTATATTAGAAATTTTTGTCAAATTTAGCTTCTTATCGATGTTACGGCGAGCCGCCATCTTGTTTGTTTATTTACGGCCGTAAGAGCATCATGAAGCCTCAAGACTCGTTGACCAATCAAAAAGCGGAACAGTTTTCCTGTAGTAAAAAGATACGAATGGCCATACTCTGTCTATAAAGGTACTCTAGCTGATGCCTCTCAAGGAAGAACCAAGATCGTTCAGGAGGAAATATTACTTTGACGCGCTACTCTCCATATTGTTCTACGCCATCTCGGTTTGGGGTCACGTGTTTTAGGAGAAAACAGCCAGAAAAAAAAATCACAAAGACTCTTAGGCCAATGAAAATAAGGATCGCAATGGCATACAGGACAGTTGGAAATGACGCTCTGGACGTTATCATTGGAATTGCCCCAGTACATCTGCTCGTGAGAGAAAGCATGGAAATGCAAACAACAAGAAAGGACAGGAAGACACTAAAGGAAGAGCTGCTGGACGCATGGCAAAGCGAGTGGACGGACCCAAGTACCTAGCAGTGATCGCGATAAATTGCAATTTAATCGGAGAATGTATCGCGATTTTATCGACGTCGATTTATTGCAATTTAATCGGAGAATGTATCGCGATTTTATCGACGTCGATTTATTGCAATATTATCGGATAAAAAATCGCGATAAATTGCGATTTCATCGCATTAAATTGCAATAAAATCGCGATTTTATCGACGGCGATTTATCGCAATATTATCGGGAGAAAAATTGCGATAAATTGAGATAAAATTTCGATTTTCTCGAACGCGATTTTATAGGGATAAAATTGCAATAAATTGCAATTTCTCATCAACGCCCACTAACGCATGAATGACGCTTATGAAAGATGTTTCTATGCTCCCCCCCCCCAATTTAGATGAAAATGTGCCCATTTCTAAAATCGCCTCTGCATGGCCATGAAAGAAAGGGGATGAGGTGGGGATGGGAGTGAGGAGAGGAGGAGTGGGGTGACGCGAAGTTTGATATGAGGGATTAAATTTCAATTAGCAGAGGTGTAAGAAACGATTCGAAACGGAGTTGGGCGTGGGGTTTGGATGGTGGGAGGTACGCCTACACTGAGAAAAAATTCTCGGCGTTTTTACCAAAGTCCGTTGGTAACCTTACCATCTCATTTTTTTACCAATTATTGATAATGTTACCAAGACAGACTGCAGGCTGATTATTTACTTTCATAGATCCCGCGGCTATAGATCTGCAAATCTCATCTATCGCGCATCTATGATCAAACTATTTGTGATTCTACACTCCAAATGTGTGGATAAGAAACTTGCCAACTTCGGTAAAAGTTCGTCACGAAATCATGATAATCTTGTGATTATCACCTATAATTGGCAACAGGGCTCGGCGACCGTCCAAGGGTTTATTGGAAATGATTTCACTCGTATAAGAGTTTACATTTCGAAAATCTAAGCCGTCTAGGAATTTACGATTTTGGTATGGTCAGCCTAGGAATTTTACTTCACCCGATGTAACCCATACATGTTTTCATGGGACCTCTCACGGTGTCTCGTGGATCATCATAGATCTTTAGGGGACATGCAAAGGGCCCATGTGTAACTGCAGCCCACATGTACGGTGGATCATCACAGAAAAAAAAAAAAAAAAAAAACATAACATTCATGGGAAATGCATGTAAGCCTACAATGTCCTACAAGGATATCACCAAACTTGGCAACGGATACAGTGCGACAAAACACCGCGTCTTTATCTACTTTAGATGCTTTACAAGTTACACCTTGATAAAAATTTCCCCTAGAAATGGATACGAGATCACATGTGCTCCCCTGAGGAATGGTCAGGAAAGCCCCTGTGCTTCCACGGGGGTGAACAGGGGACCCTCTGTTCACCCATGGGAGTCTGGGGATCTTCAGTCCCGTCTCTCCGTCCTCGCGAGTTCCCTGTTATGTAGCAGTTGGTAGTATGTATGAGTAGTGATATTGTCGCTACTTAGGTGTCAGGCCTGCTGGGCAAGCTTGTATCTTTATCAATACACTCTGCCGTTATGTCACGCAACTCGTGCACTTCTCTTTTCTATCATCCTTAGTTTTTCCGATATAACAAATGGCGAAGAGTTTAATTTCTTCCGATCTTCAAAATTCGGAACTCTTTCTCTTTAACGTGTTTTTGCGTTAACGGTCGCGTTTTTCTCGCGCTATCGCTCGACCCCGTGAAGTGTGCATCGCATCATGTCGGATGGTGAAACAGATCCTCCTCAACCTCAAGGCCTCGAAGCTGAACTCGCCCAATTAACTGACTTGGTCCTGCAGCTTGCCGCTTCCCAATTTTCACCGACGGTCCAATCCGCATCCCGGTTCTCTTTTGATGCTTTCTGTACAACATCTCAAGAACAGATAGAGGATTACTTCGACAGGTTCGAACTCAAATTGAACTTATGCCATGTGCCTAAAACTCAATGGGAAAACCAGGCTCGGGTGCACATGGGCCCCGAATTAAATGTATCATTAAATACTCTTTGTTTCCATGTCCTTCCTAGCTCGCTTGACTTTGCATCACTCAGAAACAAGCTCATTTCTCACTATGCCAAATCGCGTAACAAATTTAGTGAAGCCATCACCTTCCGGAAGATTCATCAGCACGCTGATGAGTCTATATCAGATTTTGTGTCTCGCCTCAAGACCGGTGCGCGATATTGTGAGTTTGGCGATTTCCTAGATTACTCGCTTAGTATTCAGTTCATCCACGGCCTGTTTAGCGATGACATCCGCGATGAAATTGTAACGAAATAACCTGCCAACTTCGATGCTGCTGTCGCTGTGGCGACTAACCTCGAATCTTCCTTTCAAGCCTCTGCCATCCTCAAGCCCACTTCTGCCCAACACTCAACCACTATCAGCAAGTTTTCACATGAAACTAGACCCAAACTCAAGAAAAACTCAGGAAACTATCGGAGCCGCAGTCATCCTCACAGTAAGAACTCACACCGCAGCCCTTCTCACAGTAAGAATTCTCATCGCAATCCTTCTCACAGTAAGAACACAAACTCTTGTTTATCTTGTGGAGGTTCCCATAACCGCAGTACATGTAAATTTAATAATGCTGTCTGTAATTACTGTAAAATCCGAGGTCACATTGTCAATGCATGTAAGAAGAAAAAGTACTCTAATGGTAAAGAAGTTCATGATAATACCAGAAACAATTCTGATAATTCTAAAGTTCATGGTTTTCGTCCCGATTCTGATACTTATTATCTGCAACATCAATTTAAATCGATCTCTGGCGGCAGTCCACCAATTTTGCTCGATGTGCTCATCAATGGTAAATTACTCTGTATGGATCTCGACACAGGTGGTCCCTGTAGCCTTATCAGTCATAGCATGCTCCGAAAATTATTTCCTCGTGCCAGAATGACTAAAATTAATGAAAGTTTCACCTCTTACACTCAAACTAAGTTCAACTGCATAGGTTACATTTGGGCTAAAGTGACTTTCAGGCATAGTACTGAGTACCTCAAATTATTCATCACTGATATCCCTGGCGATAACATTTTTGGTCGTCAATGGATGAAACCTTTTGCAGATCTCCTCTCTCTTCATGAACTCCTCCACACTCAAACTGATATTAACAATGTATGTGCACACAATTCTCTAAATAAAATGGACTCTATTAACCTTAACAAGTTTCTCGACAAACACAAATATATTTTTGGGGATAAAGCAGGTGTTTGGTGTGGGTTATATCTGAATAAGCGAACACTCGGTTAAAACGATATTCATATTTATTATAAAATAAAACGGAAATGAACACGACACGGTAACACTGGTATCACGACATGATGATCGGCTGACGCCATGACCAATGTGGTCACCTGACCCTCTGAGGGCAGTGTTGCCAACCTGTGCTGGGTAACCAACCCAGGCTATCCAACACCTCCCGTTCTCAATTTCTATTTTTTTTTCCTTACACTTTACTCCCTTTTGCAAACACAAACGAAGAAATTGAGGGAGTAGAGTCCAAGTCAAAAATATTTCAGAGGTGTATGATTTTTATCAGTAAAATTTAAAATTATGCATGAAGAATAGTTTTTTAAAAGATTTAACAGTTACAATTGCGGAATTAGAACTTGTACACTGACAGAAAACTGACACAGTATTTATTCGATTAATTTGCATTTATGAAACCAATCAATTTATGACATTTGAACTCAGAATTTGGTTGAAGTTATAATGCTTATGAGTTCACATAGATTTGAACGATTTGCAGTTCTGAAATCGACAAATATTACTGAAATTAACTGTATTTAGTCATAGGCTGTAGTTAACATGTAAACTCCAAAAAACCCAAAAAATTGGGTAAAGAGACTCCGGGCAAGTCACCATCCTCT